AAGGTAAGAGGTAGTATAATTAGATCTAGGGCAAGATGGCAAGAGGAAGGAGAAAAGCCAACAAAATATTTTTTTAATTTAAAAAATAGGAATTATAGTTCCAAGATTATACCAAAGTTACAAAAAGATGATAATGTTATTATTACAAAACAGGATGAAATTTTAGAAGAAGTTTTTTTATTTTATGAAAAATTATATGATGATAATACTGATATTGATGATATAGATTTAGCAGACTTTTTGAATACATGTGATGTTTCAAAGTTAGATAATAACGATTCTTTTGTTCTAGATGAAGCAACAAAATCTTTGAAAAATATAAAAAATAACAAAAATTGGCGACCCATAACATTATTGGATATAGTCTATAAAATAGCGTCCGGATCGATAGCAGGTAGAATTAGAACAGTTTTAAATAAAGTAATTAGTGAAGATCAAAAAGGATTTCTTTCAGGCCGTTATATAGGGGAAAATACCAGATTAGTTTATGACATTATGCAATATGCAGAAGAAAGATATATTCCAGGTATGTTATTAATGGTAGATTTTGAGAAAGCATTTTACTCAGTCTCATGGGAATTTGTTGATAAAGTTTTAAATTATTTTAATTTTGGTTCTGATATTAGATGCTGGGTAAGACTACACACTAATGTAAGTTCAACTATAAACCAAGGTGGTAACCTTTCATCATTCCTAAACATAAAAAGAGGCTGTCGTCAAGGTGATCCAATCGCCCCCTACATTTATTTTGTGTGTTGAAATATTAGGCATAAGACTTAGATATAACAATAAGATTAAGGGTAAAGAAGTAAATATAAGTCCAATCCTTATTTCTCAGTATGCTGATGATACTTCTCTCATTTTAGATGGTTCTGAAATGTCTTAAAGAATCTATAGCAGAATTGAATACTTTCGCTAAAATATCTGGTTTGAAGTTAAATATAGACAAACCCCAGGTGGTTTGGATGGGGAGCAAAATACATAGTGAAGATACATTTTTACCTGATCTAATATTGCAGTGGGGTAGGACAAAATTCATGCTTCTGGGAATAGGTTTTAGTGTCAATCTTCATGAAATTCCAAAATTAAATTTTGATAAAAAGTTAATTAAACTTAAAGAACTTATCAAGTCATGGAACAGAAGATCACTTACTCCTATAGGTAGAATCCAACTTATAAAATCTTTAATGATATCACAATTAAACTATTTATTTATTGCATTGCCAAATCCTGATGATCATTTTTTTTGAATCAATTAAATAGTATTCTCTTTAACATTTTATGGAACAGTAAAACTGATAAAATAAAGAGAGATATGATATTTCAAAATTATTTTGAAGGGGGTCATAAACTAGTTAATATAAGGTCATTCATAGATTCCTTAATATTAGGGTAGATAAGGAGATTATATCAGAAGTCGGGCAAGTGGCAAGTTATCACATATTGACTTACATATGCTATCTAAATGTGGAAGTGATTGCATTTCAATATGTCTTAATAAGTGCACAAATTATTTTTGGAATGATGTCTTTAAAGCACGGAGAAGGTTTAATGAAAGGGAGCTGGTGAAACAAATTAATGAAAGTTGTATCTGGAAAATGCCATTATGGTACAATAGGAATTTTACTATTGGGGGGAAATCAATATTTTTCAAGACATGGTATAATAAAGGAGTGACAATAATTTATGCTTTAATAAAAGACATTGAGACTTTTTACACATTTCAAGAATTTGCTCAAATTTAACAGGTTAATACTACTTTTTTCAATATCATGGTGTATTTACTACAATAAGGAAATATTTAGCAAAAAATGATTGTAAAAAGGATGCTTTTGTATACCCTATCGTACCCTGTTATGTTACATTTTTCTTAAAAAGAGTAAAAGGGATAAAAGATTTTTATAATCTTATGGTAAAAAAATACTATTGCTACTGGGAGGAAAAAATGGGAAGAAAAGTTAGATTTGAATAATTTTAATTGGAATGATATATATAAGACCCCTTTTAGAATAACAAAATATTCAAGACTACAATGGTTTCAGTATAGAATTGTTCATCATATTCTGACAACAAATTCATCCATGTTTAAAGTAGGATTAGTGACAAGTCCACTCTGTACACTTTGTAATTTAGAACAAGAAACAATCATTCATATTTTGTGGGAATGTAGAGAAATAAAGAGATTTTTACAAAGTTTTGAAATATTGTTAGATGCACTTTTTATCCAATTTTCATTTAATAAAATCAGTTTTCTTTTTGGATTATTAATACCAAATGAGAATATGACATATAATAAAATTGACAATGAAATTTTACTTATTATTAAGTTTTGTATTTATAAGACAAGATGTCGACATCAAACACTGAGCCCAAAAGCCTTAATTAACACGATTAAAGAACATTATACTGTTCAAAAATACATTGTAAACGGTCAAGGTGATTCTGCACAGGATAGGTTTTAGAAAGAATGGAGAAAATGGATAAAAATATTAGACTATGCAGAAGTATAATTTTAATAATACCAAGGTAANTCTCTCTCTCTCTCTCTCTCTCTCTCTCTCTCTCTCTCTCTCTCTCTCCTATTTTGCTTTTATTCTCTCCCTCCCCCCTTTTCTTCTTCTTCTCTCGACCCTATGATTCTATTTTGTCACTGGTGTGTGTGTATGTGTGTGTGTAAGATTGAGTGTATGTTTTAGTATATAAATGATATACTATGTGAAGTATGCTGTTTTAGGCAGAGCATGGGTTTGATAGACCATCTATTCTGATGATGTTTGTAACTATGCACAGATGATGATGATGATGATGATGATGATGATGATGATGATGATGATGATGATGATGATGATGATGATGATGATGATGATGATGATTGATATTATACATAGAGGAGGATGATGAATAAAATGCTCATCATGTAAGGATTATGATGATGATGATGGTGAAGGTGACGGTGATTATGATGATGATGTTGATGTTCGTCATTGTATATAGATTTGATTATGATGCCGGTAAAAGTGTATAGGATATATTATGATGATATGATGATGATGATGATGTTTGTCACTGTGTATGGAAGATGATGATGATGATGATGATGATGATGATGATGATGATGATGATGATGATGATGATGATGATGATGATGATGATGATGATGATGATTGTACATAAGATGATAATGTTGATGATAAAGACTGTATAGAGGATGATGTTGATGATGATGAGGAGGAGGAGTTTGAGGATGATGTAACAAATAACTTGAAAAAATAAAACAATAATAAAAAAAAAAAAAATATTGTCAATATTCCAAATAAGGTCAGGCTTTGTGCTTTGTATGAATCACAATGAACCCGATTGTCACGCTAGATAAAAATATTTTGATTAAGTCAAGATAATGACAACAGTAAAAAAAATAAAATATTCTGTGTGTATTTCTAAACAATCTTTGTTTAACAACGCGTCATTTATCAGGTGTATTATTTATTTATATTTAGACACACGTAGTACACAAGGTATTCCATAAAAACATTAACCGTTTACTGTTTTACATACAAGGTGTCAATATTAAACGTCATGTATATTGTAAACTACACAGTGCTAATTTCAACAATTATCAATGATTAAATATAATTTGTAAATCTAGTTGTAATATTTTCTTCTAGGGTAAACTGACCTAATTATAACCATGTACCTAATTCTAGCCAATTTATTCCGAACAACCAATCAAAGTTAACCATGAAAATGCAATATTTAGAACGAAAACTTTGCACTTTAGAAGCAACCAAAATGAACAGGATTGTCACATGATTGATACATATTTTGATTCTTGACACGATACTAATGATCAGATCTCAAGGTTTAATGCCTACTGAAGGACGATAAGTACTCTTGTTTAAATAGTATCCTGATGATATTTGTAGACTAGCAAGCGCATGCGCGCGCGTGCCAAAAAATTGAATCTACATGAGTTAAAAATTGTAACGGGTTAAACCAGAACTTTTACTCTGGCCCTTCGTTTAATTTTTTTTGTCATTCTGACCAATTCCTCTTCTGGCTAGCAGTAGTATAGTCTCACCACAGTTATGTTTAAAAAGAACCTAAAGGAAGATTACCATATGTACGAAAAGCTACAGTGGAATTCTTTAGCAATATGCTTCAGAGGAATAGGGATCCTTAAATTATTTCATCATAAATGCTATCAAATTTAAATTTGTTACCGAAATTCATTTTAGTTTCACATAAAGCATATATCCGTCAGAAATTGAGTGATTTTTAATAATCAAACGTGACACCAAAAGATCCATTGTAAAAAATCAGGACAAATCTAAACAAACAGAATCTTTTATTTTCAATACATTTTTTCATTTGAAAAATAAAGTGCAACATAAGTACTTATAGTCAAAACAACTCGACGAGTTTGAACATGCCAAAATAGTTAGCATAAGGAGATCTGTCAATATGCTTCATAGTGCAGTTCTCCCCTGGTACATACGAGCACACCTGGGATTCTATTGAGTCCAGCATATTCATTCTAACAACACCACAAAGGAAGCTCGTTTGCATTTTCGACGTATTTTCTCCACCGAACTTTGCCGTCCATAGACGCTTGGGAGCCCCGTTTATGAGTCCCGACCGGTGCTTGTAGATGCTGTGGACTCCTATAGGCGCTGGTCTGTTGGTCGCTGCTTTGCTGAAATCGAAAGTGTGATGCGCATAGACAAAGTACATCCCAGCGCCTGGCATCTTGGGAACAGTGATCTTCCTCCCGTCATCAATCAAAGTCAGATTTCGTAACAATGACGTTTTGCTACCAAAGCTGATGTCCCAAGATAACGCTTGTAAAAAATAAAAAGGATTTAGGATTTAGCATCAAAGCTTGTATACAATTTGTGTTTGTTGGTTAAAAATAATAACTGAAATCTCGAATTGGCTTAATGCTCCTTTTCCTTAAGCAGTTAAGAAGACATTCTGTTTTGATAAGAGATGTTATTACTCACTTTGGCCGTTGTGGTAGAAACTAGGGTACAGGTGTGCTGCATGGTTTCTCTCCATCCACCATCGTAGTGTCTCCGATATGGCTGAAAGGACAGAAAAAAACTATTCCGTTCTATATCTAATCGTCTGTTTTACTTTTCGAAATTTCAATGCATCAATGTTTATCCTATATAAAAGTTACAAACATTACAAATGCATGGCATACACTCTGAACCTGTTGTTGTTTGGAGACTTTTTTTGGTTTAAGTTAAAAAAAAAAAAAGTTCGTTTCTTCCCTTGTGTGAACAAATGTTTTAACGTTGAAGATGTAATTTAACATTGTGATTGCTTATCATTTTTAACCAACACTTCTCCCATTTAATGAATTGCCTCGAAGTTGAGAAACAGGGCAATACTTGCTAAGGAAGACTTATGAGGGATAGTGCTAGGTAATACTTACTTTTTGCCGGGTTATTGTACCAGTTGTGGCTGTTTTCCTCCACCAGCTACAACAGAAAACGTGTCTATTTCAGCAATAGCTGTTGTAGTATCATTGTTTTGTTCTTTAGCATGCATTGCCAATGCTAACAAACTTAATAAAGCCCGGCAGAGATTTTTATCAGCAATATTAATGTATGTTGTAAAATCACAACACAACTTTACTAAAATGTATAATTTTTACGTAAACATTTTAAAACAAAGTCAGTATTGTAACAAACAAAAAGGTGTCACAGAAGCAATAATCTAACGAAATTGTGATAAAATTTTCAAAAAAAATCTTATATTTTTCAATAAGATAGGCGAAACGTCTCGAGTCGAGTGACATAAAATATACTATTTTGTCAATTCGTTGTACAGGTAAAAATACCAATAGCTCACTCACTCATAGCTTGACAAAGGGACCAGTCGGCCTTGAAACATTGCGACACGTTTAATGCGTACATAGATTGTGGAAAGTAAAACTTCAATATTTCGTCTTTTATTCTCTTGATGAGTTTAGGACATACATTATTGTGACAGTCAGTCGACTTACCTCAAGAATAAGATTCTGGAGGTCATCATCGCGCTGCAGACAACAGAGTGTATTATTGTTTTCAGTTTTTACTATGAATTCATACAAGGTGTCGCTTGTGTCGTGTCCCTGGAAGTCACAGGTCAGGCAAATCTGTCCGGCGATGTCTGTCCGAGCGTCTATCCTGGGTGAAGTGGTGACACCTGCTATAGTATTCTGGTCACGCAGTGTCTGACGGACGATGTACAGAACTACAATGGTGATCACCAACACAATGTTACCGACAACACTCGCATGAAATACACGTCTAATGCGATAGTAGAACGCACTTTGTTTACCCATATTTGTTAATCGACCAGGAAGCTTTATTTTATATGTCCCTTGACTATCTGCATAAAACATTTGATAGCAGGACACTATCTAGGTTTACGTAAGGGTTTCGTGGAAATGTGTTGAAACAGATTCCTGGTACTATCACAAATATAACCTGATCTAATCGTGTACTCGTGTGTGTAAATATAAATTCCACAACTGGGATTCAACTTTCATTTTGTAATAAAAAATTACAAAAAATCAAATTGCATAGACAATAACAGGACTTTTTGTCTTTACTCAAAATGTTGAACCTACAAAACCCTATTTGAACTCTGCTCTAACCTATCAATAACAAGGTGCACTGTCTGACCTAGTTTAAACATTAAAACGACTGTCACGTCGACAAGTTAACTTTTACTAACCTTAAAAGATAATGTTCAAACACATTAAGTGCTTTTAAAGCAAATAAATAGCATGATTTGGAAAACTGTGTACACCTAGACTTTGCACTGGATTGCAAAGTATTCATAGCAAAACATTGTTCTTATTATGGATGTTAAACTTGCTTGCAAAATCCAAGGCTATATTAGACAGATGCCTAGGAAGACATCGCAAAAATTATAATGGGATACAGAGAAAATCAAAGTGTTGTAATTTTGGCATTCAGTCAATTTTGGTTTCCTCAGTGTCCTCAGAGCAGAAAAGAGGAAAGAGAGCCTCCGATTAACTCCACATTTGTCTCCTCTTCCGATCGTATGTAGTCGGATATGCCTGTAGCATGTCCGATATTTCTTAGAACATGCATATAGTCCAAACAAGGACGAAATACATCGCGACTGTACAGTAAAGACTATCCTCAAATCAATCATGTATTTGCCTTCTTTATTTTGAGATGTTGGAAAGCATTTGCATATTGTTGTTGTAATATGCTTTATGTGTATTTTATTTCATTAAATATAATTTAGTACAATGTTTTACAGTATTTATGAATTACACACAGTCGGTCATTAAAACTGATATATTTCCTTTTCTAACGACACAAACATTATCATAAGTTATGTAATGTGTAATTCTGATTGTTTCTTAATAGAACAATGGTTTGTTTCAAGACGGGGTAAAATTATGCCGATTGATTGCCACGAAAATCTATCAGAAAACAAGAACTTAATCTATTCGAGTATCGGTCCAACTCGCATTCCCACATTATTTTCTGATCGTTTCTGTACCTTTGTTTGTCACCTTTATATGATATAGCATTAGTGAACATATTTGACTTTTTTACGTTGTAGCCTTATGCCCAAATTAAACAAGTGTCAAGGATGTCGTAAAGCAGTTTAAAACTTCTAAAATAATCACAAGAAATACTAAGGAATCAATATGTGTAGACACAGAGAGCCAACCAAGGTTTAACTGCACGCTATGGCCACTTTGTCTATGTTACACTCAACCGTGATAATAAAGGTCAAAAGAAATCATCGAAAAAGGATGCCTAGAAAACCCCTCATAACGTTACAAACGTGCAACATAATTCTGCAACACATAATTTATATTTAAACTATTATTCCAGCTGACCATATATATATAAATAAATGTACATATGTGAGTGTCATCTTAAACATATTTTGACTACCTGTTTGACGAAACATATCAACTTCAATGAGTACATTACAACTTATATCACAACTTATTTAAGATAAGAGTTAATAAGTATTATAATACAACATGGATTGAGGTGAGCGTGTGTGTAAAGCGGATTCGGATTTATTGAGATATTATTAAACACTACATATAAATATCATCAGTTTGAAATCACCCTCCTGCATAGCAAGCATATGAGACTGTTTCCATATGAAATATATCTGTCTGTCTATCTAAAAACTAAATACTAAAAAAATATAACAATTTGACATACTAAATAGATGAAAGGTGTATGAGCAAGACCTCCTGCGTGAGGACAATTTTATTGTTCGGGGTTGAACCCCGGCCCCTCAACCCTGGCAACCTCAATTATTTTAACTATAAATATACATATGCAAAACCCGGTAAGTTTTTGGATATATACACTTGGAAATCTGTTGCTGAGGTATTAAATTTCTTTGGGAAAAAGACATTCCAGCTGACTGATACTCCACCAGCTTGCGTGAAATAATCATGATTTTTATTGGATTTCCTTAGTTTCTGTTTGCATTGCTCTGTGGACTTTCCTATGACACACAAGTTTGCCCATCAGGATAATATTGCGCCTTGCAATCCTTGTTCCAGTACATCTTCGTACTTCGCAGATGTCTGTTGTTGAATAATGAACTTTTCGGCCAAAGCTTCTGCTTAACTAAACTGAAGGAATGTCTATCAAATGAAAGGGAACGTAATAAACATATATATCGATATTCACTCTCGATCCAAGCTTTCGGGCTCGGAACTTCAACAGGGATTCAATGATTTTCACTCTTGTGTCACATCATCAGCCCCTTTTGATCAAAGTAAAGCTGAAATCCAAATCCTGTACCATAGTAAATGTCCTCCCTAGTCTCACAGAAGGTATGTCTTCTTTTGGAGTTGGCAGTTTTACTATGGATCAAAAACTGTTCACCTTAGAGCATTGACTATTATGGATTTTATCTAACAACAAACCGTGTCCAAAGTCGACGTGACTTAGGTCAATAACGAAGAGTTAGAACAAATGCAAGATCTGTTTGGTGACAGAAGTGTAACTTTTTATATTAAGTAGATGAAAAAAATATTTTCTTCGGATGAGAAATAAATATCTAGTCGCCCACTGGTTTGTCGAATGTTTGGGGTTATGCTTGCGGACCTAGTATAAGCCTTGGACACCAAGGTCACCAGGGAATCCCTGAAAATGTAAGGAAAAGCCGCGACACATTACTGTGCGCTCTCGGAATCTCCACTTTATTGGGAATGGGGGAAATTGGGACATTGCGAGTGATATTTTCTTCGGGCTTTTGGAATTATTTCTCGATAAATAGTTAAATCCTAAGGAAATACGTATGTATTCTGAAAATCACTATTACTGACCGTTGTCCTTAACAACGACTTACGACAAGGAAAGGGCGAATATAGCGGAACTATGAGTATTGTTTGATGTAAACAATAGTGGAAGGGAAATAACTCGATATACAGACTGATATAAGAGACATGCTCACCAGAGACATTCTGTAAAACATATTGATCCATGCAATAACTTATAATATATAACGAGCCAATGAGAGGCTACGTAGTACATCAGTCATATAAGATATTTACAGGAGAGGACACGGAAACTACACTCTTGTTTAAAATTTGTGTATTGTATGGCGTATATCTGTCGTATCCTTATCACAGCAAGTTGTTTAAACTCAGACAAAGGTAATTCTTATACCATATTGATATAACTGTGGTTTTCTAACAGGTCCCTCTCATCAAATAAAATATTGTAACTCAACTGCTACATTCCAAAAATGTACTTCAATAGTATGTGCGTATACCAATAATGTAATAATACAAAACGGGTAAGCTGTATTCACTGCCGTGTTGTGAAATATATTCAAAAGACAATTTAATTAGTATCATAATAATTTAATAAAAACAACCACCATCATTAATGACGTCTTGTTTTGAGGGTTCAATTTCAATCAAAATAGCAAAGCAAATGTCTCACAACTTATTTCAAATGTTACAATGTAAGGAAAACGTAACAGGTAACTTAATGTATATTAATGCTGTATATTAATATTCATGTAACTCCTCCCATACATTCAGGTTTAGGTTTGGAAGTAATATTTCCTTGGCTTAAATTGAATGTTTTGACAATTCAAATTTTGATAACACCTATCTGATTCGCACCTTTCGTATCATATATATATGATGGATGGGAGAAAACAGAGAAAATTTGCTCTCCCTCGGCTAGATTCGTAATCACATAAAAACTCGAACTGAAGAAAATTTCGAATGGTTTATAACCGTTGTCCTTTGTCAATGTTTCCATCCAAATACATTTGGTATTGGAATAGTTAGTACTGTGAAGATGGGCCTTGACAGCCTGCTGATTGCTTTCTGTCGCTGTATTGGGTGGTGCTATGTGCATTGTTACTGTTATATATATGATATAGAGTCCTTCCTCTGCAGCTATTAGGGAGTGTTGTGTAACGTTTACCTTATCACACATAATATTTGTTCTGTCGTGTTTTAAATGGGATCCATTCGCTGAAACAGAAGAAAATAGGTATTACAACACTATATAGATTTAAATTATGTTCCCTTTAAAATTATCATATGAGAGCAAGGGCTTTTACGCTTCTACATCTAGAGAGGCAAATACAATTGTTTCATAACAACTTATACAAAGTCGAACAAAACAGACGTCTGTCTGCTTCATAAACAGTTCTTAAAATGCAAATATATTTATCATGTTTAAGAATAAACTAAATCCGTCATACCTGTATTACAAATAAAACACGCAACACGTAAAACACGCAACCCTTTTTCATAGTGCATATGTTATTTCAACAAACTGCTCTTTAACATGACATCTTTTTTGTTAATACATTCACTGCTGACTTTATGAAACGTAGAAACACAACTACATCTAACGAAGGAAGACAATTTTGACTCGTGAGCAGTTCTGAGCTCGAGCAAATCGTCTTTTGCTGGTCTAAGTACCCGGATGACAATATATCGACATATACTTGTATACGAATTGTACAAAAATCGTTACATATAGGACACAGTACAATTACGACATGTATATGTAGTTCTTACCTTTAACTTTCATGTTAACATAAACTAAAACATATTGATACATTGTTATCATAATTGGATATATACTAGTATATATAACCTACTGTAGATCTACTATCTTGAAAGATGAACCTAGCACACGCACTTGGGTCTGCCCCTAAAACTTGGCTATAAGTACAGTGTGTCTAAAACTAATCACACTGCACCTAACACTTGGCTATAGGTACAGTGTGTCTAAAACTAATCCCACAGCACCGAACACTTGGCTATAGATACAGTGCGTCTAAAACTAATCACACTGCACCTAACACTTGGCTATAGGTACAGTGCGTCTAAAACTAATCACACTGCACCTAACACTCGGCTATAGGTACAGTGTGTCTAAAACTAATCACACTGCACCTAACACTTGGCTATAGGTACAGTGTGTCTAAAACAAATCACACTGCATCGAACACTTGGCTTTAGATACAGTGTGTCTAAAACTAATCCCACAGCACCGAACACTTGGCTATAGGTACAGTGTGTCTAAAACTAATCACACTGCACCTAACACTTGCCTATAGATACAGTGTGTCTAAAACTAATCACACTGCACCTAACACTTGGCTATAGGTACAGTGTGTCTAAAACTAATCACACAGCACCGAACACTTGGCTATAGATACAGTGTGTCTAAAACTAATCACACTGCACAATTCAGCTATTTCGTCCTTCTGGTACTCACCGGTGATGCTATTGGCTGAGAATTTAAAATTGGTCTAAACTACTGTTAAACAGAGGAGGGGAGGTGCGTTAAACTGCTCAGTTCTATGATTATCAGAATTCCGAGGATTGCTGATTTATTTCAAATTAATATCGAGTATAGTGTGTAAATTAATAACCGTGCCGCCATTCAAATAACTTATCTGTGGCCATCAAGGTTTCGGCAAGTAATGCTATTATCCCCTTTAAAATTGCATCCTTCAAGATGACTAAATCAGAGATAGTACTACAATGGAAAAAATACATTAGGGATACTAAGGTACAATTTACACAAATGGAATATCCTTATAAACTCTCGCAACCATGCAAAAGAGTTTGAATAATATAGCTTGACTTGATATTCAAATATTAAAAATCATGAATATGTATGAATGTGAAATTATTTGATTAAGGAATCATGTTGGCGATCTATGATACAACCGACAGTTGGTCTATACGTACCACTTTCTGAGGAATCTGCACGGATGGGAAGGTGAGAGAGGCATTTGTTGACATGTTTATCACTAGTAGTGTTGTCCTTTCCAACGAATTTGGCAGTTTTCATCTGGAACGGAAGAAAGAGTGACCCAGTATAAGGAGGATGGCGATCAATTCCATATCATAATAACAACCTTCGTCATTTTGGTTTCGCATGAAAGTATTACCTTGATAGTAATTTCAGCAATAACTTAATTGTTTTTTCTTAAAATATCTTTTTCTCTCTCACCAATTGATACTTACCAGGTTAACCATCCATTTGACGTGCCCAAATCGTTCCAGGCAGCAGTGGAATTTGTTGTCAATAGTCTTGACAATATGTAAGTCTGAGTAACTTGTTTTTTGTTTCAGGAAGCAATTCATTAACTCTTGACGCACTAAAGAACATGGGAAACATAATGTCGATTCAAGCAGAGATTCGTCTGGTTCTTGATAATTCCAAATATTGTGTGATCGACATTGATGTCTATACAATAAATTGTTTACGCTTTGAGCGACCAGATATAAGAGACCAAGTAGAAAAATAAAGGAGGCGACTGCTTTTCTCTTTTGCCTCTGTTTTCTTTTCACAGTGTTTGTTGATACCAGGGGTTGTAATGCGTCTCCTGTGTTGGAAATAGATACATGTGGTGGTGGACCTCCCGACGGATGATACGGCACAGATCGATCATGATTGGACGAATATTGAGCCTGGCTGTGCTCATGTTGCTCGGGTATGACTGAAAGATAAAGGTTTGTTGCTGGAAGATGTTCGTTATCATAGCGTCTTGCCATTTGCTTCTCATTTGATAGGTGATCGTCAGATGCTATCGGCTTTTCAATAAAGCGAGTTTCCGGTGAAAAGGCATCGGATACTGGACTTTGTCGGCACGGAACAGGTAATCTGGTTGGGGAATATTTTAGGTCGTCTTCTTCTGTAACGAAATCACTGTCACAGCAGTGTGTACATCTGCAGACGTGTTGTTTTTCTGTTTCAGTCGAAGTTGACTGGAGACTTGCGGACGGATCAAAGTTAGCCATTCTTGTTTGTTACCATTTATAGTAAGATTGTCTGCAGTAAAAATTGACATATACACAATTTCTTATCGTTAAAAAAGAGCTTACAAACAATGAACACTTTTATATTATTAAATGAAAACGAAATAAGAAATAGAACATGTGGATTATAATTAACATTGTTAAAATCACCCAAATTAAATAGCAAAGACTTTATAAAAGCTGTTGTATTGATAAAAGAGAAATAACCCATAGAACAGATATAACTTATAGCTGTATAGACAAATAAAATAAAAGTATCAAAAATAGTGGCCGAGTACGTTTAAGAGCAAATATTTGGCATGGTTGAGTATTTATACTTTTGGGATAGTAATTATTTTAAATAATTAACTATGGCAATATTTTATGCGTGTTACTATTTATATATATATATTGCTGCAAAACAAACTTCATTTCACACCTGTACATACACCTTGCACACTGTTAAGGAAACAGTGAACTATTTACGCTTCGCTTAGGATTTATTTCTATTGTTTTATCAGTGCAGAGAATACATAAATCAGACATATGATAATGTATAACAGTCAAAACATCGGTCTATGTAAAGTTGTGCAGCCATTTTAAAGGAGTACTTTCGTTTTGAGCAGTGTCTCATCTGCTCAGCGAGTGGTACTGTACGTAAACATGTCAGTTTCACGATACTGATACATAGTGTAATAAGCATGCCCAAATAAGTTTTATATTGAAATGATATTCATATCGAAGGGATACTCACCAGCACTTGTTTTAATTGGTTCACGCTGCATGGATCACCTCTCTGTAAGCCTTCCCCGGCCTAATTCCTGACGTCACGGTAATCTTGAAGGGAAATCCCGTCAAGCTAAACGCCTTAAAATTTGTCCGGAACACAACATATCATTACATAATGGGGTGCATACGTTTACGCTATAAAAAACACATTGTGCGTTATCATCGATATGATCTTTAGATATGTAAGTTAAATATACCTGACTGAAGTTTAAAAAAAGACATAATGATGAGTGATAGGTGTCTTTTTTGTTGCGTAAAATATATGGAAGTATTTGGTTACATTCTTGTAATAAATAATAATTAAAGAAAATATTAAAGAAGCAAATGATATGCAATTGTAACAGTTATAAAAACAATTTGTAACAATTCCATGGTACTTACAATGCGTATCCTATCTGGCTGTAAAGTGCTACATTTACACGGTACTATACAAGGAGTAAGATCCTGCCTTACCTTTGGAAAATAAACGGATTATAGTCATCACAGTTATCAGTTTATTCCGAAGTCAAGTCCTTGGTCAAGTGTTTTCTGACCGCAATGACTCACTCAGACAAACATAGATATTTCTATAAGGCCCATGACGCATATGCTTATTTTGAATACAATGCATCGTTTGGGCTGTTATCGAACTATTGTTTCAGTTCGTAAAGTTTAATTAAATATCAGAGAGAGAAAAAAAATACACAAAGAATATTAAACACTTTTGGTATAAACTATTTTTAACATATTTACCTACATAGATTGCTCGTGTAATCAATTGCTAAATGCCCAGGTGTGTCATTATGCCGTAGCATTCACATAGCAGTGCTATTTGACTATTTGGTTAGGTTGGTTAACCGCAGTTTAAATTTATTAGCATATGTTGTCTCGTTAAAAAAATAGTGAATTTTCATGTATTAAAAAGTTAAATAAAAAAATATCTGCTAAAGTATACTTTAAATGAAGTTTTTATAGATATTTTGATATGTAACGTGTTTCCTCACAATGTTTAACAGTACGTGGATTGATGACCAGGATAGGTTACGTGCCATTATTTTGTGCTGAGGCCAATAACAGTTGAAAAAAGACCAGGACCTGCGACATGTTTTAATAAAACCTGTCTGAAATTGTCCATTCAAAATATCTGTTTTCTCTAAAAATCTGAAACATCCCCAGGACATATATTCGTATTGACATCACGTGTTTTGAAACAATAAAGAAAGGTATAAATATCTAGTGGTATAGTATTACTTAGTGCAGATGGGGTTAAGGGAGAGTTGCATTTGGAATCAAGCAATTAGGTTAAAATTACTAGATCCGAGTTCAAAATACTTCTAGAATAGGAACGAAAATCATCAAGACTATATACGGACTCGGTTAGATAAACTGTAGTAAACAGACAGGTTTTAGGTTTATTGACGAAGGGTTGCATTCAGGCATGAACAAAGGCATTTCTTTTTAAAGATGTCTTCTTTATTGAATATGACAATGCCGATGTATCTTTAGCATGAATAATCTCAAGAGATTTTCTGTTGTTTCGTTTTAATTTTGACAATCTAAGTACATTGGATATTATTTTGATATAATTTTTGACAGTTATTTTTACCTGAATCATTGAGGAAAAACTTTAAGCCACCAAACATTGAGAAGATGGCAGTTTACGTTTTATCGAGATTGAAAAAAATCACCACATTCTTAAATCAAAATAAATGTTTTTTCTTACAGCATAGATTTGCTATGTCAGCAGCTTCCAGTCCATATCCCTTAATAAGAGCATAGGACGTGTTGTCAGCTAATACATTACTTAATAATCAAATGTTCGCTGATGAATTATGCACAAATCGCTCGGCTGACATCGGTGCTTTGAAGATAACAGAGGAGAGACACCCAACTTCAATGATCTCAAGGTTGTGCAAAGTTAGCCCTCGATTTTGTCATGACATATGACAGCGGTCCGAGAACGTACGTTGCCCCTTGATTATTGAAGATGATACATGAGTTGAAATGTTTATTCTCTCTAAATGTCCCCGGAAAAAACGGTATTGGTTCCGGAAGGTTTAACGTTTGGTAAAGGTGGCTTGGGAATTGTTTACATAAGCTATAGAAAACTGACAGTGTTGCTGGCGTATTTTTTTTTTTAAATTTGAAGTTCTTAGATGTTGAAATATATATCATTAATCCTCATAGATACTCTTTTACAGGGTTATTGATCGATCTATCGTAGTCACTATACACATGATATACACTTAATATACACCTTTTGTGCATCCGCCCCTGTGTTTCAATAGTGGTTTATACGATTTGGATTTTCAACGTTTTGTCCCCTAGCATCACTGATGAGTCCCAGAAGGACGAAACAGCTGTATGACACAGTGCTATTGACTTTATGTGTACTTGATCTATAGATGCAATAAATTGTGAATTTGTCAAGTTCATCCTTCAACATCCTTCTATATCAAGAGTTTACAACGAATTAAGAGTTTTCCGTCAAATTTCACGTTGTTGATGCATAATTTGATGAAGTCCTCATAAACACGTTACCTTAATGTATTAGGTTTATATCAATGTTAAAGATTGTTTATATATATTAGTAACTGAGAAGGAATGGCAAAAACCGATATCCTTAAAAATGTACAAAACATAGATATCGCTTCGTGGTACAACGACATGTTTAAGATACATAAATAGTAATTGTTGACAAGACTTGATATGACTCATGTATTGAAGGGCATGTATGTGTGTTCCTTTATCCTGCTCAACTGATGTTGTATTGAAGGGCCTGTATGTGTGTTCCTTTATCCTGCTCAACTGATCGTGTATTGATGGGCCTCTATGTGTGTTCCTTTATCCTGTTAAACTGATCGTGTATTGAAGGGCCTATATGTGTTCCTTTATCCTGTTAAACTGATCATGTATTGAAGGGCATGTATGTGTGTTCCTTTACCCTGCTCAACTGATGTTGTATTGAAGGCCCTGTATGTGTGTTCCTTTATCCTGCTCAACTGATCATGTATTGAAAGGCCTGTATGTGTGTTCCTTTATCCTGCTCAACTGATCATGTATTGAAAGGCCTGTATGTGTGTTCCTTTATCCTGCTCAACTGATCATGTATTGAAAGGCCTGTATGTGTGTGCCTTTATCCTGTTAAACTGATCATGTATTGAAGGGCCTGCGTGTATGTTGCTTTATCCTGTTCAACTGATTGTGTATTGAAGGGCCTGGATGTGTGTTCCTTTATCCTGCTCAACTGATCATGTATTGAAAGGCCTGGATGTGTGTTCCTTTATCCTGTTAAACTGATCATGTATTGAAGGGCCTGCGTGTATGTTCCTTTATCCTGTTCAACTGATTGTGTATTGAAGGGCCTGTATGTGTGTTCCTTTATCCTGCTCAACTGATCGTGTATTGAAGGGTCTGCGTGTGTGTTCCTTTATCTGGTCAACTGATCATGTATTGAAAGGCCTGTATATGTGTTCCTTTATCCTGGTCAACTGATTTGCACCATCTACCCCCAGGAAAGGAGGCCACATACGATTAAATAATTAATTAAAAGCGTGTTTATAACATAACCCATAAAACTGTACTGCTAGGATTATTATAAGCCAAGTAACCTGGATGTGATACGCCTGTCGACATTGACACGTTCTGTGTACAGTTTTGGCTACCATCGTACATCCAGTTCTACTTGTATCTTGTGGATAGGACTATTTATATCTTAAACTAACACCACGGAAATACGGACTGTGTTACATTACGTAATCCATATCGATTTCTGGGTCACAAAACTGTTGAACAGTAAACAAGCTAAACTGTACATAAATATTGACCGGGTATTAGGTCATGATATGTAACACAATCATACGACTACTTATCAACTATAGAATTTTGCTGGGGTTAGATTATAGTTATATGGACCCGACCAAATGTTATTGATCGAGACGAACTTATCTCATCACCGCAACATAAATTTAGTATAATAAATACTTCGGACCCATGCTCAGTTCATGATATTTATATATATTGGCTTTCTATCACGCACTGTGTCATTAATTATTTCTTTGCCTTGTATAACGTTACAAGTGCACTTCATAATATTGAATGCTTCCCATTTCACACTGTTTTTGTATTCGTTAGCTGTAGATGTTAACGTATCTTTTATCTGGATGAACAATTTTTATTTAGATTTTATCAGTACAAAATAAGCAAGTTTGTGATAAAACACTTTGCAGTTTTTATATGTTAAAAATTATATGAAAGATTAAAAATAGCTTCTGCAGACAGTAATCTCTTACAGAAACTTACTTCGGGGTAAGAAGAAATCGAAAGTGTTTTGTGATTTCTCAGAACCCATTATCACGGCCCACAAAACCTTAACCACCGCGGACGGCGTCTATTGCCTTTTAAGTGTTCTTAGTGCACACTTAATGGTTTCTATGTGATTATATCATACACGGTGAACATGTGTTTCGTGCTTACATCATCTCACCGATATGAGCTGTATAAAGGGCAAAGGCTGTAAACTATATTTAACGTTATTCGTAGAACCTAGATATCAGACGATGTTGATATCTGTAATGGTTTGTTTGTAGCCAGGTATGTGAACACAGCACAACGTATTTGCTCGAAACGTTCTGTATTTGTTTAAGAATACAATCTATCTTTTGAAAGAACGTCTCATTTGACAGAGGTAATTTAACTCTGTTGCTTGTGAACGATTATGAAAAGCTATGTAAACTAATTTCAAACTGCCACAAGTGTCTTTACGTACACAAAGACATGGAAAACATGAGTTTGAGCTTTGTTTGAGAAAAAAACGCGTTTTTTTTGTGTATCGTGTAGCTCTAAAATCTTAAAAACAACACAAAAGCACCACATGCAAGGACAAAATCTAATTTGATACAAAAAATACTGATCCCTAGAGTCCATTGCGAGTCCTTGATTCTGAGTGTTCGTCACGTAAGTGGTATAACCCGATGGTTATAAATAAAGATTTTTTTTTTTTTTTTTTTACAACAATTATAAAACAAGTTATTTCAACTTATATGAATTACTCTTGTTGGCCCGGATGTTAGCGCGTGGGAGGTCTTATTGTGGGAGGAAACCCACGTGGTCGGGCAGATGACCCCAACCTTTTCACGTCCGATCGGGGAATCGAACCCCGGCCGCTTGGTGAAAGACAAGTGCGCTATTCACTACATCACCCGACCACCCAATGGTTATATACATATGTGTCTAATTACTCTGGTCCTAGGTTCTGCAAAGATTAAAAGATCGTCATCATTCTTCTCCATCTTAGGCTGTTTGACCGTTGGACACGTCATATCATCTTGGTCTAACTTGTGATTAAAATAACTTGGCTATTTTAATCTAGCAGGTGTTATATTGAAAGGTCATCAAATTTGTTTTCTTACAATAGCATAAAACTAACAAATTATCCACTATTGATTTGTAAAATATAATAGCTACAATTTCAGTTCATTTTGTATTACATGTAATGTGCCAAATATTTTTCTTCAACACACATTAGACCTGACAAAACAATATCCAATCCTTATATATTTGTAGTTTCACTAAACAAGTTTGTTTATAACTGAAACTTGTGTTAACTAGAAACAAGATGTACCTGTCCTTTGATGGTGATGTACAATATCATAATATGATTAAATGTACCTCGCCAAGTACCATATCGGTAGTAAATGATTCTGAATACAATATTTTGTATTGTTCAAAAACATAGAATACGTATGTAGTCTTTGGTATATTGATATTACTTATTTCAGTATATGACTCAGTTCATTGACTAATGCGGCGGTTTCATACCAGCTAAGCGATATAAAACTACACACAATCTTAAATCTATAGGCAATATTGATGTAGTCAATGTCATCGGCAAAATACTCCTAATATCTACGGAAGGTTGTCCCTTGTTTCCTACTAATATTCTTCTCTGCAACGTCTTAAGTTCTTTAGCATGATTATCAGACATCACTAGGAACAAGAATTGGCAGTCTATGAAAGGAATAACTTGAGAAAAAGCACAAATATATTTGAACAATAATATATCTAAAATGCCTACTTCCAACGATTTCAATAAAAAAAAGACATACAAATATATATATGTTTTATCCTTAGCATAACTTAAAAAGAAGCCCATGCCTCTCTGAATATTCATCTTTATGTTAAATGAATACTTTATAGACAAAAAACAAAGAACCATTGATTGATACGGCGCACTATTGGTTATACAGCCTGTTTGTAGCACTGGAAATAAATAAACACAACAATTAATGGCTTTCCAAAAAAAGTTAAGAGACGTGTTAAAAGTTTGGTTTATTTTATATCAAAACATATAACAATATAATACGATTCATCAATAAACAGCCGTGAATATGCACTGTCCATGTTTTACCGTAACAACACTGTATATATACCCATACCAGGTAACTGTTGAAAAGACAATACATGGTAATGTATAATGTGTACGCAACTCTCTTAGAAATAAAATCAGTCAAAATAACGATACAGTACTTAAAGATGATATACCGATCCAAGTGTTAAGTTAATACTTGTATCTAGAGAGACTTACCAACATTTAAGACCTACTGAATGTGAACTTTAAGAAAACTTACTTATAGTGTAGTTTAGGTAAAAGTGAACTCAGGAAGGCTTGTCAAAAGTTTTTCATCAGAAAGACTTTCTTACAGTGAACTAAAATACAAAATGTACCTTAGGAAGACTTACTGACAGTGTACTAAAATACAATAGCGTACCTTAGGAAGACGTACAAAGTGTACTAAAATACAATAGTGTACCTTAGGAAGACGTACAAAGTGTACTAAAATACAATAGTGTACTTTAGGTAGACTTACTGAAGGTGTACTAAAATACAATAGTGTACCTTAGGAAGACGTACAAAGTGTACTAAAATACAATAGTGTACCTTAGGAAGACGTACAAAGTGTACTAAAATACAATAGTGTACCTCAGGAAGACTTACTGAAAGTGTAATAAAATACAATAGTGTACCCTAGGAAGACTTACAAAGTGTTAACTTGACACAGTATCACAGACAACTTAGGTATGACCTATCAATTGAGTAATATCAAAAAATTGTACAGTATGGCATTAAAAGACATCCATACTCCCTTCTCGATGAAAAACCCCGAGCCCTGACATCCGGGCCAATCAAAGGTTATAATTACTTGTTTCGTATTGTTGTAAAACTTAATAAAATTTGTGTTTCAAAAAGAAATGGAATAGGCTTAAAGTGTAATTTAGCAGGGTATAACGTTAAGTGATTTTGGGAAGACATTACGGCAGTTTTACTTATACAGAAAGACTAAACATTATCATATTTAGAATAAACTATACATCAACAGTAACCAAGATGTTTTATTGATGTGACATGTATAATACAAAAACATATGCAATATTTATAAACATTATGTACTTCAGATCTTCACAACTGAATTCTATCTAACGTATTGATCATACTGTAAAAAAAAAATCGATATCGTTCGTGTTAAGTCACTCACAGTCAACAGAAGTGGTGGTCCCTGGCACGTTATAATTTTGTTTGCAGTGTTTCACAGATATTTACTTATTATATCTGCATGTTCTTTTGGAATGAAAGTTTGGGTTTCCAAATTAATAAAATGCAATTGAGCAAATATTCAAGAAGTATATTATCTGATTTTTTAAACTTGGTATTCAGATAATTGCCATTTTGTTGTTATAGCCATCTGTATGAGACGAAGTCAACAAGCTGAATCCAGACATAATTTGTACAAATTACAATGTACAATGTAATTGTTCATTTATGCATATTTGTGTAGGATTCACATCGCTAAATGAACCATTAATTTTTATTGTTGCCAAAAAATTCATATTCAAAATCAACCTCGTTCTGCCTTCGTTGTTGATACTTATATAATTCAAATTGTTAAAAGACCTATTCTTTTGCATTCTAATTTGTACTCTTGTTGTTTTATCTAAGGACACAGAAACGACATTTTTCTGTAAACCAAAATTGGGATGACCAGAATTCGATCGTGGTATCACACCTTAGTTAAGGAACATGATTTTGGTACTTTATGTTTATTGTATATGAAAATACAAATCAATATTATCAGCTTTAAAACGACAAACCTGCGTTTGGCAAAACTGTTTGTGCCATATACAATGTATATACAACATGGTAGACTCTAGTATGGGATGTAAAATGATAATACAGAATATATCAATATTGGCACAGAATGGTTATATCACAATGATCCATAATTTATTGCGTCAGGAAATTATATGTCAAAAGTTAATTGTCTTTATGTAAACTTATCGAACATATAGTAAGAATCTGACTCATGTACGACAAAAAACCTTACTATGAATGTTCCTACATACGTTTGTAAATATGTCATACAACATGTGTTTAGTCAATGCGTATAACCCTGCATATTGTATGTGTTACTTAAATGATAACATCCATCTATCAGAAATCAAAATAGATGTATCATCTTCTATTCAATAGACCATATATCTCATCATAATCTCAGATTGGCATGGTCACAGACAGTTTCAGATCCATCTTGGCATTGTGTCTACAACGCTACTATTTGAACGCCACCCTGGGAGCCATTATTTCAAATACAGTGTGTATTCATAAATGGGGCATACCATTTAGGGAACATTTAAATAGCAGTTTGTCTGATCACTCAGTATGCAGCACTTTGTGTGTTCGACCACATTCCCAGTCATCCAGTCCATGATTTGACACACTAAAGTTGAACCACGCCGATATAGTTTCCATATTTCGCCGTGTACAGATACGACGGATGGGATAAAGATGGAAAAAACTGTTCTCCCCTCGTAAAATTTTTCATTGTGTATAAATTGAACGAATGTTGAAAGTATGTAGAGTCCGTATTTGTTCTGGTTACATTGTAGGTTTCCATCTCAATACACCTTTTCTTCGCAGACTTATTGCAGTGAAGATGGGCTCTTAATACTTTACTTTCAATCTTTTTTCCGCAATCTGTTTTTGGAGAAAGTGTGACCGTCAAAGTCATATATACAATATACAGCCCTTCCTCTTCTGCCAGCAAAGAATCATTAGTCACTTTTATCCCCGCTCCTTTGCACATCGGTGTGGTATTCTCTTTGTCCAGTTTTAAACTCGCCTCACCTGATGAATGTAAAGAAATGAATAGTATTTAACACACAAATATTCGCATGTATACCTTACTAAAGAAGTTGTTTTCTTAATATATATATTCTGTTGACAAATCACCTATTAATGAAAGGTTTCGGATTGGATTGACCTTTGTGTGCACTGTGGTATAACACTCATCATAACGATGTCAGTTAAGTTAATTATGGGTGTATTATGATTTGTAAATTGTACTAAGAAGTTAATGATGAGATCTTAAATGCTCTCCACTTTTTTCAAGGAAGTTACCACATGAATCACTGTAGGTTCTAATCGTACACATATTTTCAAAAGATATATACAATGATAATAATTAAGTATTCGGCATTGTCTTGTAGTTGTAAATAACAAAGCCCTTGAATTTCTATAAGTCATTTATTTATATGACACAAACATAAACGGTTTGTGAGTTTTGTTTTCGGTTAAGATACCAAAGCCTGTAGGAGTTTAGACCACATACACGTATCTTGTGAGCACTTGTTATACAAGGTTTAAGACCACAAACACGTACCTTGTGAACACTTGTTATACAAGGTTAAGACCACAAACACGTACCTTGTGAACACTTGTTATACGAGGTTAAGACCACATACACGTACCTTGTGAACACTTGTTATACAAGGTTAAGACCACAAACACGTACCTTGTGAACACTTGTTATACAAGGTTTAGAACACATACACGTACCTTGTGAACACTTGTTATACGAGGTTAAGACCACAAACACGTACCTTGTGAACACTTGTTATACAAGGTTAAGACCACATACACGTACCTTGTGAACACCTGTTATACACGGGCACATGAGTGGACTTAGCTGAACACACTCCATCTGAATCGGGATTTCTCGCTTCTTGTCGCCCTAATATTTCTCTCGTTTTCATCTGAAAAATAATTGAGATAACTTAAGTGAAAACGATTATTTTGCTTGTTACATTCAAAACAATATTACAATTAAGGATGAACTTGAATATATTTTTTATGTTATGGAGCTATAACACACAAAAACCGGAGTGTATTCAAGTTAACCCTATAATTCAATCTACTATACATGATCCCTGTGGAAAGCAACTTTTATTGATGGATTCTTTTCTCTTAGAAATTATTACGCCGCTGTATCAGCCAATCAAAAGCGACATTACAAAACGGCGATGTCATTTTTTTATGTTAAGGGCTCATAATATAATTTTTCAAGCCAATGAAAAGGTTTGTTACAAGCGAGATTAAATCATTACATGATAAACGAGATTTTAACCATGATAACTCAAATAGCATAAATAGTTATCAACGTTTAAACATTTAATTCGTGCATATCAATTAGACCATTCTGTATGCTATACTTATTCACTGTCCTGTATTTTAATTGCCTTCGTATTAATATTCATATATTGAGATGTCTCCTCAATACGGTAATGGTTTATGTGTTTAATGCACTACTTTTCTCGTGATTTGTTTAAAGGGGGAGTTATATCCCTTTGAATAATAGAACTTTACAAAGACATACAGTTTAACTTACCATGTTGACCATCCATTTCGTGTGTCCAAGCTGATCCATACAACAATGCCGTCTTTTGTCAGAGGATTTGAAGCCGTATATCTTGAGGTCACCTAATTGTTGTCCCCGATGGCGACTCCTGAATTCATCAACCAAGTCACATGAAAAACAAACCGTTGTATCCAACTTGGATTCGTCTGGTTCTGAATAATTCCAGCTGTGTTGGGCTGGACGTAAATGTCGATTATGTACAAAGAAAATGTCTTTACCAGTTTTAAAGACCATATATGATAATCCAAAGAAGGGAATAAAAGCGAATATTGTTCCCAATTTCATCCACAAAGGTACCTTAGCAGGTTGACGTCTGCCGGTTTTTCTTCGTTCACTCTTTTTCCTGGGTAAAGTTAATTCAAATTGTGGTAACTGATCGTGTCCTTTTTCTTTCTGTCTTGGCACTTCGACTGTTTGTTCGTTCATAAGAAGTTGGTTTAAAACATTAGGATTCGGTAACTCATCAGAGGGTTTCCGGTGAGGTCTTATCTGTGAAGGGGCGGGTGGTTGTGGCGAGGGGTGACGTTGAATGAAACGATCGTGAATCGAAAGTTTAGGTGGAATATGTGTGTGAAACTCATGTAAGAATGGAACAGGGGGATTTGACGAGGGAAGGGAATCAAACACAGAATCATTGCTTTGTGCCGATGGCAATGGTAAGGGGATGTCAAGTTCCTTCATTCGCCTTGTATCAGGTTTTGGTTTATCACATTCTTTAAAATATTCTTCTGGAGAAAAGTCATCTGTAAATTGTCGTTGTCGACATGGAACAGGGGGTCTATCGGCGACAGTCCTGAGATAACCACCATTTATCACTGTGCCAGTGCAAGATTCCATATCATGACAATTTGGACAATTGCAAGATTGACAAATAGACCGCTTTCTGTTTCGGTCCGGGGGTGGTGGTGGCGGTGCGACATTAACGTAGGTAGACGGTTTGGCCATTGTCGTAATGGTTACTGTCTCGTGCGGAAACTACCTGGCATTTGTCAACAAACTGAAAAAAACCAGCAGAGTATTAGTGTTGTGTAAATGACATACAAGTTAGTTAAAGTTAACTTCCTTTATAGATAAGCATTTAACAAGAATGAAAATAAAATTCACGGAAATGAGGATGTCAAGTTACAATTTAGGCTGGCTGTTCTGGGACAAAAGCGCTTACATACACATGTTGTGATGCAAAGTTGTGCCTTATTGTTTATTTGCTTTCATCAAATCTGCAGACACGTTTGTTCTTGGTAGCCATTGATAAGTTTTACTACTTTCGGTTTCTGTAAGCTATAATAATAAAACATCTCTTAAAATCACACAGATAATTCAGCATTCAATATTGAAAGTTTATAATATATATAACATATAAGAACGTAGATTGTTATATTTATGATAATAAGGGTATACTTACGAGAGGATGTTTGTACCAGATTGATCTAAAGGTGGTGTCCTCAGTGCGTGTTCCTAATTCCAGCCAACAGCCTGACGTCACTCACGAGCTCTGGAAATCCTGTTTGTAGATATTCCCCTGACTTGTACAGATTGAGACAAACTGGGAATCCGACTGTCTCAAAATAATCCACAAAAATCATTATAACACGTTATCGTGTGGCATGGCCGATAAGTATAAGGCTAGTTGTTTTAGTTAAAAGTGCTTGCAATGTTTACGTACACCGTTGACCTATATAGCTACTACGCTGTCTACCGGCGAACCCACCAATAATACACGGTATGTTATGAGCTGTGTCAAGGTCGCTTATAACATATCACCATGATTAGACAACTTCAGCTTAACACATAAACATGAAAGCGCATTCAAATACAGGTGTGTTAAGTTATTTCGTATTTCTAATTGTGAAATGATTTTAAGCTAAAATGGATTGATGTATTGTGTTCTTCGAGTGCACAAATCAATATGCAAATGCTTCTATGTGTGGATATCTATTTTTGTCTCAGTGTACGTTAACTACGCTACAGGTGTCTATAAGTGTCGTACTAGGTACAGTTTAATTCGAAGCCTACCCGATCTGTATATCAATCTGGAATTATTTGGGTTGTGTCTTTTGCACTACTTACTTGTCGTTCGGTCTTTAATGTTTGAGACACACTTAACTTACCTTGATATTATCTGGACTCTGTAAATCGTATGTAATACATACCAATGGTTAGTTGTGGTGGGTCCTATATAGAAATTAAAACAAACAGAAAAGTAAACATCGAGAACAGACATCACGTTCAATGATATGCTCACCTCTTCTTTTATATCCGATTACATTTTTCCAGGTATATTTGTTTTGCAACCATGGCGCCTGTCAAATATATCTATATATAACATATTACGATATGTTTATTCGTTTGTATGCAGGGAAGTCTGTTAGATCGCATATTAGTCAAGACAAAAACATTAACAATAGAAAGAGCACAATAACTTATTTGAAATAACGCTCTAGAAATATCCATATCCTGATATGAGTCAATATTTGAACCACTTGTAAAAGGATGTAAAACAATCATATTTAACTATTTTAGAATTTCAATAAGTTTAAATGCGTTTAAGATATAATGTTATGCTTAATGTTGAAAATAGCTTACCATTCAACAGAAGTTAAGTAATCAAGGGGGAAACACGTCTTCTCAGTTAACAGTGGTGATCGGGTAGGATTTACAGTTTAAAGGTGAAACTAAGATAGTACATTTATATGACCCCCTTTTATAAACAAAACAAAAAATGGAATATAAGTCTGAAAGTATTTTTCGAAAAAAAATGTTACAATGTTACATCGTAATACTTCTTTCAGGTAGTGCTTTAATAACATACTTATCATCCAGAATGTGAGTTTAATCGAATACTTTTTTGGATGTTTTTTATGTAAAATATAGTAATTTTCATTCTTATTATTCTTGTATGCTAAAACATTTCATGAAGAAGAGGTGTTATTTTAAATATGTATGCAAATATTCAGTCCAATAAAAGTGGTGGAAAGTATTCATTTTGCACAACAAAGTACCCTATGTACCCAAAAATGTTAGGCATAAGACACCTCCCTGACGTCCACCGAAGAGCAAAGTACCTGATTACAGGTAATTGGTAATGACATTCGTTGCAAGCCTACAATTAACCTTTCAGTGCATGTAAGGTCACACAAAAATCCTAATTCAAATTTGCTTCATAACTTGGCGTGATTGATAAAGTTTTTGTTAACATTCAATTTTTAGATCAAATGTTGTATCCTTGTCCCTTTTTAGAATTTGTTCTTCTACATTTTGTTATAATTTTGTCATCAGACTTTCGTCTTTACATTGCTCTTAGGGGATATTTCGTACTCATTTGTTAATACTCGTCTCATGATAAAGAGTAAATGTATAGGTGAAGGCCGCCATCGTATCTTCGTGAAATCTCGGAAATGTAAAGGTACATGTACACGAAATGTAAAAAAAAATCCATAATATAAATGGCTTTTGGATATACTGACTAAAAACGGCATCGATTACTCAAATGAAATGTTAGTATTTGTACGAAGTGCTACATATAAGGTATCTGCGCAAACGAGAATCTGAAACAGAACATTTTGAAGATGAAACTATTATAAGTTTTCCTCTCTTAATTACGGGTACTGTTCACATAAACAAAGTTGTCTTTGTTTCAACAATTTTAATTCGAAGGGAAGAAAATCCACAATTCTGCAAATATGTGCCAGGCATCAGTTGATTTTCACACACAAATTGTGGTGTTCTGCGTCATCACGTATATGCTCATTTTACATGTATCTTATTGGCAATTATCTGAACCCTTGTACACAGGTTATCCTATAAGGGAGAGAGTCTTTGAATTATCTATTATGAAGAAGTAGGTCATCTAAAATAATTGATGACCTTTTAGAAATGTCGTAATCTTAGCAAAGAATTAATAAACATTCACTCAACTTTTGTCTCTTGGATGACAATGACTGCAACGCTTGGACAGGTTGGTCAAAGAACCGTTTCTCAAAATCACTTCGTACTTGGTCCCATTTCTTTCTTCTTCGGTATATACTAAATCTACACAAAATGCTCTTTTACTGTTTTGGGTCGAGATGAAAACTAATATTTTTTGTTATTAAGTGTTCCGCTGTTTTTGTTTCTGGGTCCTGACCATTGGAGTAGGGAACAGATACTTTCACACAAACATTGCATCTCGATACGACATCAGATATGGACCTCGATACGTCATCAGATATTGATCTCGATACATCATCAGATATGGACCTCGATACCTTATCAGATATGGATCTCGATACGTCATCAGATATGGACCTCGATACCTTATCAGATATGGATCTCGATACGTCATCAGATATGGACCTCGATACCTTATCAGATATGGATCTCGATACGTCATCAGATATGGACCTCGATACCTTATCAGATATGGATCTCGATACGTCATCAGATATGGACCTCGATACCTTATCAGATATGGATCTCGATACGTCATCAGATATGGACCTCGATACCTTATCAGATATGGATCTCGATACGTCATCAGATATGGACCTCGATACCTTATCAGATATGGATCTCGATACGTCATCAGATATGGACCTCGATACCTTATCAGATATGGATCTCGATACGTCATCAGATATGGACCTCGATACCTTATCAGATATGGATCTCGATACGTCATCAGATATGGACCTCGATACCTTATCAGATATGGATCTCGATACGTCATCAGATATGGACCTCGATACCTTATCAGATATGGATCTCGATACGTCATCAGATATGGACCTCGATACCTTATCAGATATGGATCTCGATACGTCATCAGATATGGACCTCGATACCTTATCAGATATGGATCTCGATACGTCATCAGATATGGACCTCGATACGTCATCAGATATGGACCTCGATACGTTATCAGATATGGATCTCGATACGTCATCAGATATGGATCTCGATACGTCATCAGATATGGATCTCGATTCGTTATCATATATGGACCTCGATACGTTATCAGATATGGATCTCGATACGTCATCAGATATGGATCTCGATACGTCATGAGATATGAATCTCGATACGTCATCAGATATTGATCTCGATACGTCATCAGAAATGGACATCGATACGGCATCAGATATGGATCAGGATACGTCATCAGATATGTATCTCGATTCTTTATCAGAAATGGACCTCGATATGTTATCAGATATGGAACTCGATACGTCATCAGATATGGACATCGATACGTCATCAGATATGGACCTCGATACGTCATCAGATATGGACCTCGATATGTCATCAGATATGGATCTCGATTCGTTATCAGAAATGGACCTCGATACGTTATCAGATATGGATCTCGATACGTCATCAGATATGGATCTCGATACGTCATGAGATATGAATCTCGATACGTCATCAGATATTGATCTCGATACGTCATCAGAAATGGACATCGATACGGCATCAGATATGGATCAGGATACGTCATCAGATATGTATCTCGATTCTTTATCAGAAATGGACCTCGATATGTTATCAGATATGGAACTCGATACGTCATCAGATATGGACATCGATACGTCATCAGATATGGACCTCGATACGTCATCAGATATGGACCTCGATATGTCATCAGATATGGATCTCGATTCGTTATCAGAAATGGACATCGATACGTTATCAGATATGGATCTCGATACGTCATCAGATATGGATCTCGATACGTCATGAGATATGAATCTCGATACGTCATCAGATATTGATCTCGATACGTCATCAGAAATGGACATCGATACGGCATCAGATATGGATCAGGATACGTCATCAGATATGTATCTCGATTCTTTATCAGAAATGGACCTCGATATGTTATCAGATATGGAACTCGATACGTCATCAGATATGGACATCGATACGTCATCAGATATGGACCTCGATACGTCATCAGATATGGACCTCGATATGTCATCAGATATGGATTTCGATTCGTTATCAGAAATGGACATCGATACGTCATCAGATATGGATCTCGATACGTCATCAGAAATGGATCTCGATACGTCATCAGATATGGATCTCGATACGTCATCAGAAATGGACCTCGATACGTCATCAGAAATGGATCTCGATACGTCATCAGAAATGGACATCGATACGTCATCAGATATGGACCTCGATACGTCATCAGAAATGGACATCGAAACGTCATCAGATATGGATCTCGATACGTCATCAGATATGGACCTCGATACGTCATCGGAAATGGACATCGATACGTCTTCAGATATGGATCTCGATACGTCATCAGATATGGATCTCGATACGTCATCAGATATGGATCAGGATACGTCATCAGATATGGACATCGTTACGTCATCATAAATGGATCTCGATACGTCATCAGATATGGATCAGGATACGTCATCAGATATGGATCAGGATACGTCATCAGATATGGATATCGATAGTCATCAGATATCGATCTCGATACGTTATCAGTATGGATTTCGATGCGTCATCAGATATGGATCTCGATACGTTATCAGATATGGATCTCGATACATTATCAGATATGGATCTCGATACGTTATCAGATATGGACCACGATACGTTATCAGATATAGATCTCGATACAACATCAGAAATAGACCTCGTTACGTCATCAGATATGGATCTCGATACGTTATCAGATATGGATCTCGATACGTCATCAGATATGGATCAGGATACGTCATCAGATATTGATC